TACTTTATATAAAGTCATTGTTTTTGCACAAATTATGCACAAATTATTAAGGCCTCTAAATGATCAAAATGATCAAAATGTTTCTGAAAACCAAAATTTTGCTGAAATCTACATGCCTTCTGTCATCTATTTATACTTAGCAAATAAAATGCCTTTTAGTGTAACACTAAAAATATCCACCTCCAGGTCATGGTTCACATGTCTTTACCGATTTTAATATGCAAGTGTGAGCGTAACTTTTATACTGTTAGTAATATTTCACGATGAACACTTATTGGACTGAAGCAACTTCGGTTTACATGATTATCCATACAATTGTTTTTAGTAAAATCATGTTAAAATGTATCAAATCATGTCCAATTCACGTCATCATCGTATTGCATTGCATTAAATTTTGTTTACATTTTTTGTTAATTTTAACAAAATAAAAACTAAAGAGCTTTGATCATAAAACTAAGCATTTTAATATCATCATACTGACACATATTATTGAAGATATAGAGTGACAACTGATATTTATATGCGTTTTATGGAAGTAGTCTCCTATACTGTAACAAGGATCTCATTGAATTACATTACAAGCTATCAGAATTTCACCTTACTTTTTGGCCTTATAAATAAATATCAGCAACTGAACCAAACTGCATATTTTTTGCTATAAAAATAAAAAATAAAACTGAAAATAAAACTGAGGTGTCTTCAAATTCTCCTACATGAGCCATAAAAGTCTGTTGAATCAAATAAAATACTTAATTTTTTTTTTTTTTATTACAACTAAAGATTCAATAAACTGTTCCATTTCAAAATACGTATGGCTTCACATGGTTAAATCCACCACACGGTCGCTGGGATCTAAACCACTGACTCTCACCTCTCCTCTATGTTTGCTACAGCAGTCTCCTCCGCGTCCTTCTTAATGCTCTCAATGAGAGGCGTCCAGCGCTCAGTCTGGGTCTCTGCGTCCTCCTGCTCCTGCATGGCCAGCACGTGCGGCAGGATGTTGGGCAGCACCTGCAGCAGGGATGAGCCCTCCTGCCCCGAGCCCTGCTCCCTCTGCTGGGCCTCCCAGTCTGAGTCCATCTCCTCCAGCACCATATCACACGGGTCCTGCAGGATGCAGACTGCACCGACAACAGGAAGAAAATCATGCTTCATAGATCACGGAGATTAGGCTTAAAGACTCAGAAACTGACATATTTTTGACAGTTTTCCTTTTCTGAAGGTTTTTGTATCAGTGCATCACAATTGACATGGTTTTCTCTGCATCTGAAGTATGCAGATTCACTTCCAGTGGCAAAAACTACATTATAGCATTGATCCCAACGGAGCCCAAAGCGGTTTGCTGGTCTCAAAGCATGCCAATGCAGATTACGCTGGTCTGTTTTGGTTTTGGATGGTTTTAGTGGGCTTTGGGCAATTGTCAGCTGTTAGAGCTGCATCAAGTTTATTTATTTTTTTATTATTAATACTAAAAATGCATTGTACATTTGTATTATGTATTAAAAAGCAACACATTTAGACCCCAATGGTAAAATTTGCACATTTTGTAAGCTGTAAGAATTTAGGCTAACACTTTATTTTAAGGTCCAATTCTCACTATTAACTAGTTGCTTATTAGCATGCATATTACTCACATATAGTCTGTTTATTAGTACTTACAGTATAAAGACCACATTAATGCCTTATTCTGCATCACCATGTTCTTGAGCCCTTAACAACTACCTTACTAACTATTAATAAGCAGCAAATTAGGAGTTTCTTAAGGGAAAACCCTTAGTTAATGGTGAATGTATGTTCCCTATTCTAAAGTGTTACCAAATCTGGTTAATGAAACACATACAGTATATGTCCTAAAGTGCTCAAACTTACTGAAACAGAATGTATTTTAAAAATGAATGAAATCATTTTAGTTGCAGTAGTGCTTCTTCCACATACAATTTGACAGCATTTTTAGCATTTGACACATTTCTGCTCTGACCACACGACAAACAATCTGCTTTTTGAAATCATTTATTTATTATTGATTTCATACAGCAGACAAAGTAAGGTAGCTGCCTGTGTTGTTAGCAATAGCCCTTCACAATAAAACATAAACATAAATAACATCAATATACAGCATGAGAATGTTCCACCTTGCTGTAGTGAAGCCTTGAATTGATGAATCACGAACAGTGACTTTGCTAACATCCTTAGCATGGTAAAACAGCTCATAGGTTTTGTTTTTCAAAGCATTTAGACGAACTCTTGCTTTTTATAGCAGGCAATGTAGATATTGGCAAATACATTTAGTGGCATGGGGATTTATGGGCATTTTTTCCCCCATTTTTTCATTTTATGGCAACAATATTGCATATAACTGTGCTCCTTTACACTGCAAAAATTATTTTCAAAATTATGTTCTCAAGTCTTGCTTTCTGAAAGATGTATCAAAATGAAGCAAGTTTTTGCTTAAAACAAGAAAAAATATATGACCATGGGGTAAAAAAAATGCTTTTCCTTTTGAATTAAATTTTTTTCTTACCGCTTTGGCAGATTATTTTTTTCTCATTTTAATCAGAAATTATTTTTTAGAAAGCAAGAATATGTCATTTTGCTTGTGTCTTGATTAAAGAATGTTTAGATATTTGTACTGGAAAACAAGAGGAAGAAAATACAGAGGAAAAAGCAGTGTTAAAAGCGGAAGATTTTTTATGTTAAACTTTCTCCTATCCTGGTTTAATATTCATAGACAAAAGTTGATTTCCTCTAAACATGTGAAAACTGTGGCTCTGTGGGGCTTATGAAACCCTGTACACAAGTTTGGGGCTGGACATTCTGACCAATCAAAGGCGGAAATATTTAACGTTTAGTGACGCTGATGGCGCAAATGTAGACAGTATACAAGCAGTAAATGACATTGTAAACTCTGACTGGGCCACTGTGTGTTTACCCCATGTTTGTGAGGTAGCCTAATCATCAAAGCACTAAACAATCATCACAATTAACAAGCCAGCATGCTAATCTGTAATACAGTTAACAGAAATCACCAAGGAAGATTACATGAAAAAGCACTGCTACAAATGTTCAAATCCGATGTAGCTGTATGGAACTAGAGGATATTAGTATGTGTATCTGTCTTAATGTCTCTCGCTGTCTCTGCGTGGAGGTAATGACTCTCCCAGTCGTCTTCTCCTTATGTTTAGGGGGCTTTAACGACCTTCTCCCCTGAAACAGAAGGAGAAGAGGAGCTGAGTTAACACTTACACCTACCTACAAATAAGCAGTGAGAGAATAGCAATGCCTCTGATATATTCAAATATATAATCGTGGGGAACAAAACACCCTGTCTTGCAAAGCTTTCTGCAGTCATTATATCTATGTGTGTAAAGATGTGTTAAAAAAAAAACAACTTACCGTTTTGAATGATATCAGAGCTGTCCTGCAAATAAACACAGAGGAAACACTAGCAGTGAAGTCTTTTTAAAATTTTTTTACACACACTACTTTATTTTAAAGGGGACAGTGTGCTTACAGCTTACCTCTTTTGGTTTCTGTACTGGTTGTGGTATGATGTGTCCGAGCCCCTGTACTATCCAGCCAACCATACTTGAAAACAAATGAAATATTATGCATGTCATTAGACTTAATTATATGTAAAAACATTTTACATTTATCCAAACAATAAAAGGCTTCAGACACATGTTGTTCACAAAACAAGACAAAAATACAAGAAAACAAACAAAACCAATCAAAATGAAACAAAAAACAAAAAATGAACACAAAACAAAACAACAAAAAGCAAATAAAAAACTAGCAAGCAAAAAACAAAACAAAAAAACAAACAAACAAAAAACCCTGAAAACAAGAACAAAACAAAACAAAAACAAAAAACAAACAAATAAAACAAACAGAAATGAAAACAACAACAAACACAAAAGAAAAAACAAAAACAAGCACAAAAGAAAAACCAACAATACAAACGCAAAACAAAAAAAACAAAAAAACAATGCAAATGCAAAACAAAAACAAAACACACAAAACCAAAAACAAATTAACAAAAAATAAAAACACAAAACAAACACAAAACACACAAAAAACAAAAACTGAAAAAAACTAACAAAATGAAAAACTTAAAACAAAACAACAAACAAAAAACAAAGAAAACAAAAACAGAAAAAACAAAACACACCAAATGAAACAAAACAAAACAAACACACAAAACAAATACAAAAGAAAAACCAAAAACAATACAAATGCAAAACAAAAACAAAACAAACAAAACCCAAAACAAACAAAAAAACAAACAAACAAACACAAAAAGAAACATACAAAACAAAAACAAAACAATGTATATTTAACCAAGGAGTCAAAGCTTGGTTGGTTAACATAACCGAGCCCGGTCTTATGAAAATGCGTATAAATAGTACGCCAAATAAAAAATGGACTTTGGCATGTATATGCTACACACGTGTTTGGCGTGCATATAATACGCAGTTTTTGTGTGCATATGATACAAAATTTGTTGCCGTGCATATGATACGCAGTTTTCGCGTACATATGATACGCATCTACCCCACAACCCTTTACCCATTACATAGCATATACACGCCAAAGTTTTTGTTTTTATTTGGCGTACTATTTATATGCACTTTCATGAGATCGGGTTGCATAACCATAGACATTTTAAAGGAAGCAGATGGACACTCACTTCGTGCCTTTGGAATCCTCAGCTACTTTAGTTTGCTCAGGAGCTGCAGGTGCTAAATAGAAAAAAAATGTCACATGCAGACCACTCTGTCACCAAGAAAGCCTAACATTCTTGATTTTTAAAAAGGTACCTGGCTCTTGTTTACAGGGAGTCACAGGTGCAGAAGCAGCCTTCTGGGCAGGTGCATCTGTGCCAGCGGGAGGACGAAGATGGACAGGAGACAGAGGAACTACTTTCTCAAAACCATGCTTAATCCATTCTATTACCCTGAAAGAGAAAGAAACAGATAGGTTAAAGGTGTTCAGCCAGAATGAGAGTTCAGATTAGCTTCTGACAGCTGATTAACATGGTGGTGGTTGAGGAGAGACCCCCCCACATGATTGTAAAGTGCTTTGGGTGTACAACAATACACAATAAAGCGCTATATAAATGCATCATTCATTCATTCATGAATTCATTCATATACCTGGGAGAGAAGGGCACGTTAGCAGCGTCTGGCTCCTCATCAGACACAACCTCCACCACAGGAATATGAGGCAGTAGCTCAGCATCTGGTGAGAGCGAGAATCATGTCACGTGTGTTATGTCCTCTCTCATCGGCCCTTTGCAATGCAAATACAGAAAGCCAAAGTTTATACTGTTCTATATGATGTGCCGATTAAGTGGCTGAACTCACCACGAATGTCTTTGACCTTTTGCACCTGTAAAGAGATCAGAAACACAAAGAACTCTTATTGCATTAGTTCTTGATTTAATATTGGTGTGAAAATGAAAGGGCTGGGTGATTGGCGTGCATTTTAGTTTGAATCTGTCTATATTATTTCAAGTTTCATTCATTTATGAAAGTGTTTGCAAGAAGGGTTTTAAGTATATAACGGCGTTTCTTCAACTTCAGGCACATTTGGCTCTGTAAACTTAGAAACTGTCAACGATAAACTCTTTTAACACACTTTTAATGCTCTTGCTACATCTTACATATCTTACATATTTTTACTTATATTTTAACACATCATGTGTCTATTTTATTTTACAATGGTCAGACATAATTTGTAACCAATATTGTTGAAAACATTTTTCACATACTAAGCACTGAAATAGTTACATGATTATTTCACATGGTTTTTAATTTTATGTTTTTATTTATAACATTTTAAAGTTGAAAGTCTGGGGCTGTGATGAGTGAAACAACAAAATAGAAGCATTTTAAAAATAGCCATAAATAAATGAATAAATAAATGAAGTTTTATGTGATCTTCATTTAACACCGCGTTAATTTTGATAACGGTTACGGTTGAAGAAACACCACATATGTAAGCAAGCATGCCCGTTTTAAGCTGCTATGCAAGCATCTGATGTTTTTGATGCAGCAGGGTCATACCATAGTTATAGCAGGATAGTTATAGAATATAGCAAGAAACATTAAGATATTTGAAAGGCAATGAAGCTCAAATTATGAGTATTGACAAGAGGGATTTGTTTTGAAGACTCAACCTTTAACCGCCTAAAGCAGTCCTGAAAAGCTCGTCTGCAGCAATCAGTTTGTGTTTACAACCTTAATTTGTTGTAATGCTATATATACTGTGATGATAACATAGCTGTAAGGAATTACTAAGTCATTAATATTCAGCAGTTTGGACTGGTTGTTATAAATGGTTCTTGTTTACATGTATTTAAACTGGCTGATTACTGAGCAGACAGAAACGCTCAAAGAAAGGAGCTTGCATTTTGATGGAATCCACTCTTGTGGTGGAGTTCGAAGACCAAATAACTGCAACGAATGTCTCTGTATATCACCTCATACTTAAAGGGGACATATGATTGTGCAGTCTTAATGTGTACAGTATGTACTAGACATCCACCAATATTGACAATTAAAATTCACAGACCATTTACTATAAATGAACTGCAAATTTGGATGAACCAATGGTAACATTAGATTTAAATATTAGCATCTATTCAGCAACTTACCCTGCCCTAATGATGTGCTGATGAAAAGTGTAGAATATGGCCCCTTTAAAGTTGACTTGTGGGACAGAGAAGGGAACAACGAGCATGATCCTGACATACTGTAGCTTGCTCCAAAAACACTGTACTTACTGGAGGATCCACTTTAACCACTGGAACTGCAGGCTAAATGGAAATGCAATGAAACTCTCACATAAGTTTCTAGAAAACCTAAAGACACCTTTGAGACTGGACCTGAAATGCTCCATTAACACTAACTCTAAAAATGAACTCCATTAACTCTAAAATGTAAGCTAAAGTAAGTAAATAATAAACTAATAAATAAAATGTAAAAAAATCTATATACAGAAGAGTAATTCTTTCTCAATCTTTATCTAATAACAAATGGAAACTTTCTCAGTAAAAACAGTCATTAAAAAAGCAAATAAATAGTAAAAAATAAACTTCTTTGCTTATGAAATACATCATTTTCATTTTTGTAGAGTCATTCTTCCTCAATTTTAATCTAATAAAATAATTGTACTTTTTTTGTTAATAACAATGCATTTTTTTTTGTAAAGGTAAATCTTGTTTTCATAATTCACATTTTAAAATAACAAATAATAATAATAATAATATTATATATAGTATATATATATATATATATATATATATATAGTTTCAAAATTGTATTGCAAAATTGCAAAAAAAGAAATGCAAAGTAGCCAAAGAAAAAAAAAAAAATGAATTGTAATAAAATGTTACTGAAGTATTTAAAGTGCGAATAATTCCTGAAACAGGTTAAATCAAGAAATAAAATTTGAATGTGATTTTCCTCATTAAAGTAAATATATGTTACAAAAACCTCCACTTTTTTTTTTTTACCGTACATTGTGAGGCTCCAGGACAGACTTTGGAAAAGGTCTGTTTTCGTAATCCATGTTATTTAAAAATTTGAATTTAAATTTATTTGAAATTATTGGAATATTAAACACATGAATGATCATTCTTCTCAAACACAAATGTCCATGAACAGCATACAAATGTAGTCATTAATATGCTTCACAAATTCTAACACGCCTAACTAATAAGCTTATGTAGTAAACTGCAGCAAATCCAGTAAACTTGTAGGAGGAAATTGTAGCGAATCAGCTCATAAGGGAAATATGAATAATGGGGGGAGGGTTTCTGTGAACGTTTGTTAATCTAATGAATAACTGATTTGTTAAATCAAATGAAAAATTGTGTTTTTGATTGGTCCAGACGCTACAAAATATTATAAAAATTGACTTGGTAAATAACCAAATAAGCAATTAGACTGCACAAAGCTTCAGTGTCTTATGGGATTAGTGAAATGTGTGCAGTGTGTGTCTATACCTCAGTGACCTCCTCCGGCTCTGTGTGACCCTTGTATTTCTCATCTGCCTGTGGAACCACTTTTCCCAGTCCCTGCACAATCCAGCCTATCATTCCAGCCCTGATGGAAGAGGAGATACAGTAAAGTCCATCAGCTGCTCTGGGCATAGGCTGCTTTGCTATAAGTCAACTCTAGATGGCAGCAGGAAACAGTAAAAATAAACAGGTTTGCCTTGTGGGCGCCAGTGAAGCAGTAGCCGATGCTAATAAAAAATAAAAAAAATTCCCATTTCAGTACTGTTCTTGTAGATGAATATATATATATATATATATATATATATATGCTCTAGGGAAGCCAGTCTGCATATTACAATGCTTAGGTTTATGTCTGTTCAGCAGAGGGTCTTTTGCCTTGAGCTTTTTTGCGTGTGTAGCATGCAAAGACTCTCCATACCGGTCTGCAGCAAAGCTCTGCATGTTTGTGCATGACCTAATATCTGCTATAAGCTACTCACTGGTCCGATGTGTTACTGCCATCCATGATACAGTGATGGAAAAATGTGTGATACTCATCAAAACATTTATTTAACAGGCACACACACAGATACAGATGTTAACAAGTATTCTCACATAACTACATGAAGATGCGGCAAACAGCATACACATACAAAATTAAATTGAATCTGTATGATTGAAACTATACCTGCTGCTCGCTGCATTTCCCTCATGCTGTTCAATCCAAGGTAAACAAAAAGAAAAAAATGTTCAAGAATAAAACACATACTCATATGCTCTATACATGTACTTCAAAGGAGAATCAGAAGGCTGAATCCCGACTGACAGAGGAGGAGTTGGGGATGGAGGATGGTAATTAGCTATTGAGCAATGCGAAAACTGCTGATAATACTGAGGGACCTTATATATGAATGCTTAGATAGGTGTCATATTCCCATAGGTTGATGGGGATCAGCTGAGAGTCAGCTGATGCGAGCTTGACTAACGTGACCTGCCAGAACTAATGCTACACTTGATATTACCAGGCTGTCGTAAATCAGAAAGCATGGTTAAATTGCTTGAAATTAGTTCACAAATAAATTGGTTCTATTTTTAAAATGTACTAAATTCAAGTTCAAAGTAGCAAAAAGAAGGAGAGAAAAAGATAATTGAAGTATTTAAAAAAAGGTACTGATTAAATAAAGAAATTAAAGAGAATTTCTCATCAACGTAACTTTAAAATAGATTTACAATTACATAAAGGAACCTGTTTTTCTCTTCTCTTTTTTATGTATGTTGTAAAGCTTCAGGACACAACACACCAGATGTTAAACTGAAACATCTGCCTTGAAACTTGCCACCTGAATGTTAAACATAGTTGTATAGTGACACTTGAGTTAAATTCATCTTCAGCAAAGTCTAAAAATAGTTTGTATTACTTTTTATCTCAAAGTTATGATTACTGAAGAAGGTGTCTGCACATAATGACAAATGATCAAATTTGTGTTTTTAAAACCAAACTTTTTAACACCAAAAAATTGAATTTCTATTCTCATTAAAATGGACAAAAACAGTAAAAATTAGTACAAAAGTAAATAATAAAAAGTCACAATGAGCCGTAAAATAAAAAAAATGTATTTTTGCCTTGCAAGTATAACTGAGTAAAGGTCCTTGCGCACCATTGAGTCCGAAATTTTCGTATGCATTTTTTCGTTTTTACTTTTCTTCTCGTATTTGTCATCCTTTCCTATCAAAATGCTTGTTATGGATGTGAAAACGCAGAAAATCGAAACTGTTCCGAATTTTCTTATTACGGACGAAAGTTTTGGAGGCGGTGTGTAAACATGATTGACACAACGTGAGGTCGTACTTATTTTTTAACGTGCGAAAATTTCGGACGAGAATTTCAGACTCAGTATGCAATGACCTTCTGTTTCAAATTTCAATAGTAATTAAATACAGCACAAAATGTAAAAAAAAAATGTCTCAAGTTTAGTAATAAAGTACAATTACTCAAGAACTGTAAGCTAAACGTTCTGCTATCAGTTATTTAAATTTTCAAGTGAAGAGATTAAAATTCACCGTTTTGTGTCCCTGTGCTATGTGCCAACTCGGTTATGTAAGAATCATTGATTTACCAGTTTAAGCTGGATACTGTCACCTTAATTGAGGTCGTTCATTCATTTTAAAACTCATTGTTTTTGTGCCAACAAAAATATAGCTCATATTAATGTCTAATGGAATGAAGAAATAACATAACATAATCACTTGATAACAATAGAAATAGTTGTAAATTATAACGATTATAAGATTGTCAGACTACTTAAAAAAAATTTATCCTTTCAGTAAGTTTTTCTTTACGCATTATGCAGTATCATGAATTAGGCATTTTTGATTATTTAGCTTACAAACATTATTATTTAGATTTCAGCTTTATTATGTGAATGTACGAGACTGAAGTCATGAAAATACCTTAACTTCACTGTCGGCCAGTTTAGAGGAGTTTACTGGCTGAGGGAGAGCACTGCT